GCCTGAACTACATAGCAAGATCTTGTCTCAAGAAAATTTAAAAGAAGAAAAAGAAAATAAGCAATGATTTCTCTTCTTTGGTAATTTTATGAAATACTTGTAACTGTGAGAAAAACAACCTGAGATAGCCAAAGTATCCAATAAAAAGCGATTGGTTAAATGAATATTATACAGATTCAATTCAACAGAATATGGAAATAAGTTTTGGTGACATTTGAAAAAGCTCTTATGTCAAAAAGCTCATGCAGAAAACAGAATGAAGAACAAATACAAATACAGATTTTAACTTTCTTCTATGTTATTTTCTTTTTTTTTTTTTAACAATTTTTTTTTTAAATTTTTTATTTATTTATTTATTTTGTATGTGTGTGGCCAGCTCAGCCCACCAGGGGGCGGGGCTGGCTGGCATGTGGTGCTGGGGGATTGAACCGCAGTCCCTGTGCTTTGCTAAGCTTGTTCTAAGTAGGTGCTTTAGACCACTGAGCCATCTCACCAGCCCCTTCTATGTTATTTTCTATGTTTTCTAAATTATTTTTATAATCAGAAAAGGCTGTGAAACTTAAAATGCTTTCACCAGAATGACAAGTCATTATACATGATTTGCATTCTGAAAAAAAGTTAAAGTATCTTTTCATCCTCACACTGAAAAATGTATGGATAAGAACAGTGGTAGGAAGTAAACTAGAGCAACTGAAGAATGGCATTCATGTTTCATTTTAAAAGCAAACTGGAAGACATAGCCTCTTTAGACTGGTTTGAGTCCTCAGGCTGTTGTCAACCTATCATTAAGTAACAACGTGAAAAGCATCTGTAGGAAACATATGTAGTATTTCTAATATATTTCCAAGACACCTATGCTTAATTCTTTTCTCTGAAACTTTACAGAGAATAATATTTCCTCCCCTAAGGAAAAAACAAAATGTCTAATGCAAATTCATCACACTGTTGAAAAAGAACAGTTTTTGTAGAGTGCATGGATGAACCAGACAGTGAATCATGAATTGAAATGATCTTGAATAAGCTTGTATAGACACTTATTTTTATATCCCTTAGCCTTCTACTCATCTAAAACTACCTTGAAAGGCTTCAATAATTTAAAGATTAAATCATAAGTTATTAAGCCATTAATTTAACCATTTAAGCCTCTAAAGTCAGTGCACACTACCTTCCCCCCTCAAGTCAATTTGCAAGAGATTAAAATAATAAAAATGATAATATCTCACATTCACAAACTAGCTTTGATCTGCAGAAGCATAAAGTACTTTTTAAAAACTTTATAAAATAACTAGGACCATCCACCCACATTTCAGAGTACATCTGAGGTAGAAGCTGGCAGCTGGTGAAAAGCAATGGAGTAATTTACCATCTGCACAGAAGACTACTACTTTTCAACAAGTCTAGGAGTAGATGAGTTAGGGAAATGCAAACAGCATTAGCTTTTTAATTAAATGGGAAGTTTACCAGCCACAGATTTCAAGGGCTATTGTTTGTTTATTTATTTTGAGACAGGGTCTTGCTGTGTAGAGCAGGCAAGTCTTGAACTGGCAGTGATCCTCCAGCATCAACCTGTCCACTGAGTGCTAGAATTGCAGGCACACATCATCTACCCAGCTCTAAGGGCTACTGTTTAAATGTGCACCAGAAGTGGTTTAAGATTGCCTTTCAGGGGCTGGAGAGATAGCTCAGTAGAATAAGCGCTTCTCTGGTAAGCGCAAGGGCCTGGGTTCAATACCTGGTTCCGTAAAAAAAAAAAAAAAAAAAAGATTTCCTTTTAGAGGAGCAAGGGGAAGGTTGTAGCTCAATTTATAGTACTTGCCTGGCAGGCACAAGTCCCTGAGTTCAAATTCTAGCACCAAAAACAAACAATAAAAGAATGCCCCAAAATAATTACTACTTAATCTAAGGAGTTATTAGTCCTGGTTATTTTATCCACACATTCATGGGAAAGTTTGGTACTACTGGTTTCATCTTTGAAATAGAATATGATATTCCAAGTGCTTTCTGCCTGACATTTCCCTCTTGCTTACACTCAAGTTTCAAAAGTCTTAAACTATCAGAAATTTTGATGTTTCATTGCTTCTGGCTGAAATCCTGCTTCCTGCATCTCATCACAAACTATTTTCTGCCACCTGTAAATACTCATCACAAACAATTTTCTGCTACCTGTAAAGACAAAAAACGAACTTCTCAAACCTGTTTCGTTGACAGTATGATTCTTTTTTAATGCATTTTTCCTTTTAGCCTCTTTAAAAAAAAACAACGATAAGTGTTTCTACCCTACATCATTATAAAGTGAGGGCTAGGGGCAAGGCTGAAGAATACTGAGCTGTTTTAGTGGGCAGCACTTCAGTTCTTAGGGTTCACTTCTCTGGTTTTGATCTTTCCATATCTCTCTGAATTATCGTGAGTTCACATGTATAAAAGATCAAGAACACACACACAAATTTTAAATTAAATACTTCAGTTGGACGTAAAAAATAACTTCTGTACTATCTGGGAGTATGCAAAATTAGCATATTAAAGGAATAACTAGCTACCAAGTAAGACCAACAGCTAATGCGTCTTAATCATTGATTTTGTTTGGAACAGAGTCTATTTAATAGAATCTAGTATTCTAGACCCTTTCCTTGGCACTTGCTTGAACATAAGAGAAGGGCCAGATGATCTTACAGTCCTTTCAGCTCTAGAATTGTATCTCTGTTTCTAAGTGGCTTTACTAGGAAGACGATGGATAGTATCTAGAAAAAGGAAGAATGAGGGCTACATTAAGTTACCAAGAAGACTCTGTTACCTACAATCTTTTTTTTGTACAAGTTTTTGAGAGTATCTTCCTAGAGATATATCTATGTTCTTTACCAAACAGTTTGACTTTGTACAATAATGAAAGCATTCTTTAAAAAAAATCCTATCTATGCTTCTTTTTAAGCAAATTTTTCAAATATTTAAGAGATAAAAATTAACTTTAACATTGGTGTAGGCAAAGACTTCATGAAAAAAAATCCCTAATCACACAGGCTCTATCAGACAGAATCAACAACTGGGATCTCATCTTACTAAAAAGCTTTTTTTTTTTTTTTTGCAGAACCAGGGATTGAACTCAGGTCCTTGTGCTTGCCAGGGAAGCGCTTATTCCACTGAGCCGTCTCCCCAGCCCTACTAAAAAGCTTCTGCACAAACCACTAACACAGTGAAGAGACAATTCACAGTGTGGGAAAAAAATTTTGACTGCTATGCCTGAGACAAAGAACTAATATCTAGAATATATAAAGAACTCAGGGGCCGGGGAGTTGGCTCAATAGAATAAGTGCTTCTCTGGCAAGTGCAAGGGCCTGAGTTCAATCCCTAGTTCCCCCCTCCCAAAAAAAAAAAAAAAAAACACCTCAAAAAAATCAAAATATAAAGGCCAAATCAAAAAATGGGCATGTGAAATTAACAGACACTTCTCAGATAAAGAAATAGAAATGGCAAATACATACATGAAAAAATGTTCAACATCACTGGTCATTTGAGAGATGAACATTCCAACAACGCTGAGACTCCATCTAATATCCAGAAAGAATAGCTATTATCAAGGAATCAACCAATAACAAATGCTAGAGAGGCCTTGGGGAAAACGGAACGCTTCTCCACTGTTGGTGGAAGTGTAGACTGGTACAACCACCGTAGAAATCAGTGTAGTGATTCCTCAAAAAACTAAAGCTAGAGGTTCTGTGTAGTACAGCTATTCTTTCTGGCATCTTCCTGAAAGAAGCAAAGCACCACACCACAGTGACACATGTACTCCGGTGCTTGGAGTGGCACCGCTTTAACAGCCAACTCTTAGGGACAGCCCAAGTGCCCACCAACTGATGAATGCATAAAGAAATACAAAGAAGTACTACGCTGCCATAAGGACAGACACTTCTAACTAAATGGATGCACCTGGAGACCATACTCTTAAGTGAAATAAATCAGACAACATGCTCAAATATCACATGGTTTTTCTAATGTGAGAAACTTTTTTTTTGGGGGGGGGAGGTGCTGGGGATCCAACTCGGAACCTCCCACTTGCCAGGCAGGTGCTTATGCCACTGAGCTATGTCCCTGAGCCCTGATTTGAGAAACTGGAAGTGTAAACAAAGACCCAAATGTATATTAATATGGAAATGGGAAGAAAATGTTCAAATGAGAAAGGGAACAAAGGACAAGGGAGGAGAAAAGGAAAGGGACAAGGGAAAAAAGAATAGAAAGAAAAAACAAAAGCAAAGCTTTTATAAATAAAGAGGAGAAAAAGGGCTGAAGGGAAGGAGAATGGGGCAAAAAAGAAGCAACATGTATCCTGTACAGGTATAAGCTCCCTGCGATAAATGTTATTATGACATGTATCTAAAATGTACCAATGAATAAAAAGTAAAAGAAATTATCAGCAAGTTGAAAAAAAATTAATATGCACTAAACAAAGAGCAACTTGGAAGTTAAGACATTCTTTTCTTTGGTACTAGGAACCAAATTCAGGACCTCACACTTGTCCAGCAGGCTCTGTGCTGCTGAGCTACCCCCAGCCCCAAGAACGGGCGAATAGACTCAGGCCTTCGTGTGTTCCAAGCAGGCGCTCAAGCTGCTGGCCTCCCAAGAGATTCTTTTAAAAGTGCACAAAAATACACTAGAAAATTTAAAAGAACCTGCTCAATAGCAAGTGCTTGCCTAGTACTTGTGAGGCCCTCAGTTCAATTCCCAGTTCACACGCACACACACACACACACACACACACACACACACACACGGAGAGCAGGGGTGGAAAGGCAGGTAGGTAGACAGGCAAAGTTGAAAACAGTAAGGTAAAAAACAGATCAGTATTTGCCAAAATTCTGCTGATAATTTTAGTAGCACTTGAGAACAGAGTTGCTGCAGGTTCTATAGTGCTCTGCACAAAAGTATAATATGTGTGTATCTACTTGTGTGCAACGCCACGTACACACACACATCTCAGGCAAGAAACTAGAACGCAGAAATCCCGATACCTTCTTCATGGCCTGACACTTGGCTGTCTCAGAGAAGCCAATCATCTTATCAGGAGAGCAGATCTTGATGAAAGGGAAGTTGGACTCCTCTGCAATCTTTGCAGCTAATGCAGTCTTTCCACTGTGAGGAGGGCCTGCATGAAGACACGAGCAAGGCAGGGGAAAAAAGCCACCCTCAGCAAAGGAGTCCAACAAGTTGAAGCATTTATTCACAACATACTGAGGTCTCAACGAGTTGCTCATTAACATTTCCTGACAGGTTCATGGCAGACATGTTCCCTTTTATTTATTAGCAACCACACTTAATGAACTGATTAGCATTTCTCAAAAATATGGTGAAATACATACATGCCTTTTTGCTTTCTCATATATACTTAATCTTTCAAATTTCTGACTATATAAAGTATAAGGGTTTTGCTTCTTAAAAACAGAATATAAAAAAATAGAATGCATCAGTATTTGTATTATTTTGTCAAACTGTTTAACAAGAACACAAAAAATCTTAGAAGATACTGAGGGCAGGGAAAAACTGTCTCATTAGAAGCAAATGTGTCACAAAAAGGTAGAATTCTAATGACTCAGATCCTCTAATAAAGATAACCAAATCTGTGACACTTTCCTGCATCTAGACAACCCCACTTTTCCCTCTTCCAAATGTCACCCAGCCAACCCTCCCTTCCCGTCTTCTTTGGAATCCAAGGTGGTGACGGGTCCTCTCCTGAAAGCTTTTCTGAAGATTTTCAGCAACATTTAAACAGGCTCTGTTCTGATAGTTCAATAAACAAAATAAATACACTCTTTCTGGACTTCATAGTGCCTCCCTCCGAAATGGAACTCTGTTCATCTCCAACTGCCTCATTCTTCATCCACCCTTACTGAACCTGTGGCTCCCAAGTGTCTGGCATCGATCAGCACCCATCCAGGTCACCAAGGACCTTCACGGCACTAACCCCAATGCATAGTCTGTCTTTGTTGGCCTGTTAGGAGCAAGCAGTCAGTACAAGCGACAACACTTCTTTTTTCAAAGCACTGAGCCTTTCTATTCATGGCTTCTCTGGCAGCATATGCTCCCTCTCCCCACACCTCTGCTTGCTCCCACTTGGCTTCCTTTGTCAACTCTTCCTGCTCTGCTTTGTCCTAAATTGTTACTACACCTCAGAAATAAGCTCTAATCCCCCTTCTATACCCACTCACACCCTTTGTTTCTTCCCCCTTTTTTCCTTTTTGGGTGGTGCAGCGGGGTTGAACTGACAGGTGCTCTACCACTGAGCTATATCCTCAGCCTTTTTCTCTTAGACAGGAATCTGTTAAGTTGCCCGGGGTGGGCTGGAAATTTCAATCTTCCTGCCTCAGCCTCCCTGAGTGCTAGTGTTACAGGTACGTGCCCAGTGACTGCTGATATCCTGTCTGTAGATGAGTCCATCCACACCAGTGGCTTGAAGGGCACTGCATACAATGACAAATGACAAATCTACCGTCATCTCCTCTCATAGGACAGAACTAAAGTTTGAATGAGATCACTGAACATGAAAATAGAGTGAACTGGCAAATAGGAAGGACTAAAAGAATGTTATCCTAATTACGGCTGGCCATGATTTTCGCCAAGCCCCTCTCACCCTATCTCTCCGTCAGTCTGCTTATCTTCATCTGCACCGCACTGTATTCACCCAACAGCTCCCACCAAGACTGGGCAGCGTCTTCTAACCGCTGGTCCACCTACATCGTTTGCCCCCTGTAATTCATTCCCCACCCTAACGCACTCAGTATCTGGAAAAAACCTGATCATAGGACTTCACTGCTCAAAACCCTATAAATGACTTTCAATGGTCCTTGAGATATAGTCTGTCTCTAGGAGTAAAAGTGGATCCCACATTCTGTAGCTCTCCAATCTTTCTGTCTCTAGCTTTTTCCTGCTCAGTGATATTTTATATGCTGGTCCCTATGCCCAAAACATTCCCCTAGTCATGCACTTCAGTCTGGCCGCCTTCTCATCTTTGGCTTCCTGTGCTTCTTTTTTTTTTTTTTTATCCTACTTGGTATGAGGTCTCACTGCACCCAGTCTCAGCAGCCAGCCCAGCACGGCTGGGGACAGGCCTGCGTAGCATGTTCCCGTGTTTCTTCTAGGGAGCCTTCATACTCCAACCCAAGGGATTAGGTTCCCTTGTCACTGGCCTCACTGAGCTCTTCTGTTGTCATTCAAATTATAAGATAAATATTTATGAATGGAATGTCCTTTCCCTTTTATGATAAAATTCTAATTAATTTTTTAAGGTCTAAATTAAATATCACCTCTAGTTTTCTCTGTCCACTCTGGGCAAAATGACTTGCATTCATATACACCTTTACACATGCACACAGTATTTAAGAATTTCTTTACAAATCTTTTTTCATAACTAGAGTGAAATCTGAGTGTCTATATCTGCAGCAATCAGTTCAGTATCTAAAATATAGCAAGTAGTCAGTAGATACTTATTTAACTGAATCAAGTTCTATGTGGTCTCATTCAGTCTATTAAGTACAAGAGTAATTTAGATATAACCCTACAGAAAAATTACCTATCACTCATCAGTAACACTCCACCCTAAGAAAATTTTAGTTTGTACACCATACTGGTGCATAGTATGGGGTCTTATTTTAAACATACAATGAAAAAAAGTTTTAAGGTCATCTTGCCCTTTTTCGGTCTCACCTTCCAAAAGGACGCTAACCAGCGGTGTACGATCGCTGTTCTTAGTCTGCTGGACCAAAAGCTCCCCATCGTCCAGAACTCGAGTAACCGGGTCACCCCATTTGATGATTCCGTTCATAATGTAACTTGCATAATCCTCTTGGTTTGTGCCAAATGCCTATTGAGAAAAGAGATAGCTTAAAGCATTTTGAGCAATAATTTTAAAAACTGAAACTTCTTTTCTTCTCCATTGTGCTGCAGTGCTCAATCCCATTCCCTTCCATGTTTTCTTCACAAGTCTTTCAGGATCAAGCAATTCCTGGCCACCAGAAAAAAAAAAAAAAACAACAACAACCCATTCCATTCCGCCATGGACTTGGGTAAGAACCAGTAATAAATCAGATACAACTATAAAAGCAGATATTGGGGAAGAACCAAGCTGGGTCTGCAACAAGCTGCACATGAGCTATTCATGTATCAAGGTCCTTCTCATCTCACTGTATCAACCTGGAAATGTTACTACTATCTTGAAAGCTGAACACGTTCTACTGGGAATCTGATTTTTCTTTTTATTCCTATGTTTTGTACTAATACGTTGGTTCTAATAAACATGACCCCCTTGAGAAATATAAAACATTAAAATATACAAAAATAAAGCTGGAAGTGGTGGCACAGAAAGGCAGGACTGTAAGTCTGAGCTCAGCCTTGGCAACGCAGTATGACTCTGAATCAAAACAAGGGCTAAAAAAGGGCTGGGAAAGCAGCTCAGTGCAAAGGCACTGGGTTTGGTACCAGTATTAAAAAAAAAAAAAAAAAAAAGAAAAGATCAGCACTAAAAATATCAGCATTAAAGAGGGGGGAGGCTTGATTCTACACTCAGATTCTACCAGAGCCCAAACCCTCATAATCATAATCCTTGAGAGTATTTGTTCTAATATGCTTGTTTCTATAAAAAATAGGTAAGCTGCCATTCTGTTAAGAACAACGAGAAAAAGTGATTATGGATTTAGAAACAGTTCAGCGCACACACGCACCATCCTAATACTGATTGTGGGTACTATAGATTAAAATGTGAGGGCTGGGGAGATAGCTCTGTGGTCTAAGCGCCTGCCTGGCAAGCAAAAAGACACAGGATCAACCCCTGATACCACACGCCATGCCAGCCCTGGAACCCTGGGCTTGTAATCCTATCGCTGGGGAGGCTGAGACAGAAGGATCACTACGAGTTTGAGCTGCCTAGAGAGACCCTGCACCAAACAAATAAATACATAAAAGATTTTAAAAAAATTTTAAAAGATGTGAATACAAACTGGAAATGATCATGTTCATATCAACTTTGTAGTTGGGGACATAAGTGACACTCATATAAGTGTATCTTTATAAATATACAAACTAGAAGAATGATATAGAAATAGGAAGATAAAATGAAAGAGTGAAGAGCTAGCACAAGGAAATAAAAGTGATTATTAAATGGGGAACAGGGGAACAGGCCCGTGATACCACTATCCTGGGAGGCTGAGTCTGGAGGACCACAAGTTCAAGCCCAGCCTGGGCAAATTAGTGAGACTTATCTTGGAAAAAAAAAGAGATAGGGCAGTGAAAAGGCCCCAGGTTCATCCCCAGTATAGACAACAAAAGAAGCAATCACTATCCAAAGCAATTATCATACATAGTAATTTTTTATCCACTACATCTTGAAGTTTGGAATCATATTCCTTATTTTCAATTTTTTTCTTTCTTCTTTTTTTTTTTTTTTTTGGTGGTACTGGGAATCAAACTCTGGATCTTGTGCTTGCCATCATTTTCAACTTTTAATTGGAAATCTAACTCCAATAAAATAATTATTGAAAGTATCAAAACTATCAATTTATTTCTTACAATTGAAGATCTTCATAAGGCTATAATCCAATGTACAGGTAAAGGTCATATATTTTGAGAATTTCAACTTTTTAAAAATTATCATTATCCCCAAAATGTCATTTTTTGATTGCCTTATATAGAGATTAATTTTAATAATTTCTTAGAACTTACATGCACTGTAGCATCGAATTTTCATGTTTCTATCACTTTACCCTCAAATCATTTTCTCATCACTCTTTAGGTAATATCCTTGAACGCACTGCTATTCTGATTCTTGAGTACAAAGTCCTCATATTTTGGCCTGGATATAACAAGTTCAATTGCTTTATAAAAATTCATAAAGGGCTGGCCAGATAGCTCAGTGGACTAAAGCACCTGCTTAGGCAGGCGCAGGGACCACGTCTGATCCCTGGTGTGCTGTGCCAGCCCCGCCCCTGTGGCACCTGAGACAGCGACTGAGTCGGCGTGGTGGCATGCACCCGTAACCCCAGCGCTTGGAAGGCTAAAAATAGGAGAATCATTACGAGTCTTATCTGTGTAGTGAGACCCTGTAAAACCTGTACTAAGTACATTTAAAAAAACAAAATTTATAAAGGAGGAGTCTTAAAGTCAGGTTGAATGGAAGTTCAAAGAAACATGCAGGTTCGTCAGTTATGTTTCAGGTAATAATTAATTGTTCCAAGTAATAATCCAATCATTGGAGAAGAAGCTTTAAGATGCCTGAACAAAAAGCCAGGCATGGTGATGCATGCCTGTAACTCCAGCTCTCAGAAGGCTGAGGCAGGAAGACCACTGTGATTTTGAAGCCAGTCTGTAGTGTGAAGACTGTCTAAAAAAAACAAATGGAAGATGCTTGAACATAAAATAGTGACTCTCCAAAGCCATACATTAAATATTACACACACACACACACACACACATATAAAATATTCTTATATATCTCATGATTTTATTTTTTTTCTTTTATCTTACAGGCCTGTGGAATAAATAAAACTAAATTTTTAGCTTTTACTTTCTCATAGCCAAATTATATGCCTTTAAAAAAAAAAATCTTGCAATAGAGGTCTAACATTTTTGGTAACTGCTCCAAATGTTTTTTTTTAAATTTTTTTTTTTTAACATTTATTTATTTTGTGTGTGTGTGTGTGTGTGTGTGTGTGTGTGGCCAGCTCAGCCCACCAGGGGGCGGGGCTGGCTGGCATGTGGTGCTGGGGGATTGAACAGCGGTCCCTGTGCTTTGCCAAGCTTGTTCCAAGTAGGTGCTTTAGACCACTGAGCCATCTCTCCAGCCCTCCAAATGTTAACAGCAAAAGATTAAACTGTTTTCATCGCTCAGTAACTTTTTAAAGTAATTAAATTTAAAAGTCACAATGGTCATAAAATGTACAGCTAAAATATATTGACTTGTTTTTAAAGGAGATATTTACAACAAATAATTACTAACACTACATAACAAATGGTCAATAAGCATATGAAAAGATGCTCAGCATCAGTAATCATTAGGAAAATGCAAATCAAAGCTGCAATGAGGAGTCTGGGGAGATAGTTCAGTGCTCTGAGCACCTGCCTGGCAAGAGCAAGGACACAGGTCTGATCCCTGGTACTGCATGCCGTGCCAGCACTCAGGAGGCATGCTATGCCAGCTGCTGAAACCGGGCGTGGTGGTGCACACTTGTAATCCTAGTACTGGGGAGGCTAGGACAGGAAGGTCACTATGAGTCTTAGCTGCATAGTGAGACCCTGTACCAAATAATAATTAATTAAAAAACCTGCAAATAGTCATACTCCTTTGACTACTATAAAAAACAAAACATAAAACAATAAATTTTAGGCCTGGCCAGATAGTTCAGTGGATTAAAGCACCTGCTTAGGCAGAATACAGTGACTGGGGTTTGATCCTCAGTGTGCTGTGCCAGCCCTGCCCCTGTGGCATACTGAGAGGGAAACTGAGACCGGGCATGGGTGGTGTGCCTGTAATTCCAGCGCTTGGGAGGCTGATAACAGGAGAATCACCACGAGCCCGATCTCCGTAGTTGAGACCCTGTAGACGCTATCCTAAGTACATTAAAAAATAAATAAATAAATAAAATAAATTAAAACAAAACCCAGTAAACTTTGACACAGAGAAACTGAAATCTGTGTGCATTACTTGAAAAATAACAAAATGGTACACAGCCCCTCTGGAAACAGTGTGGTGGTTCCTCAAATATGAAAAGTATAAATACTATATGACCCGGCAACTGCACTTCTGGGTGTCCACCCAGAAGAGCAGACAACTGAGCCTTGAGATGCGTGGACAACGTGTCCACAGCAGCGTTATTCACAACAGCTAAGACGTGGAAGTAAACCAAGAGTCCACTGCGGGACAAACGGCTAAGCTAAATGTGGTGCACACGTACAATGGAATATCATTCAGCCTCTAAAAACAAAGAAATTCTGATAGTGTACATGTTGCAATGTGCATGAAACTTGAGAATCTTACGCTAAATGAAATAGCTCAATGCCAAAAAGGCAAACACTGTATGATTTCACTTGTATGAGTTGCTTAGAGTAATTGAAATTCTAGACACGTGAGACAAATGGTTGCCAGAAGCTGAAAAGAAAAGGAAAATGGAGTCATTATTTAATGGATCCAGTTTTAGTTTTACAAAATAAAAGAATTGTGAGATAGATAATAGTAATGGTAGCATAACATTGCATGAATGTGTTCAATGCCACTAACCTGTACTTAAAATGGTTAAGATGATAAATTGTTATGTGTATTTAACACAACCAAAAGTGAGAAAAGAAATAATACATAAAGAACTGCTGCAAAAAAAAAGTGACAGAAAATGATAAAAAGATTATGAATAGGGCCAGGGAGATAGCTCAGTGGCATAAGCACCTGCCTGGCAAAAGTAAGGT